TTAAATTTGTACAGAAAATACAAAAATACTATTTCTGATAGTTCGTCGATATTATTTCTTATGGGATAGAAAAAAAATCAATATATGTACTATTCCTGACAGAGTTTCTTAAAAAAATCTCAGTGCCAGTTTCTTATAACAGTGCTTAGCTTTAATGGGAATATTAATATTATAACCTGTGATTAACCCATAATGCTGGCCTTGACATTACCCAAATACTAATCCTTAATTAATAAGGATATTTGATGATAATATACAAGTGAAATAAGTCAAAATACCAAAAGGTTTCTGGATGCGGTCAGGGTCATTATTCCTTTTCTGTTTATATCATTATATAGCAAGCCTTTTTTGAATTATTTTATTTATTTATTATTATTATTATTTTTTTTTAAGCATATTTTTTGATTTTGTTTTCACATTTATTTATTATCGAAAGTCAGCAAAGATAAAAGATATCAGTGGAATGTATACTGTTAACCATTATCGAAATAGAATCAAGGTTGAAAAAAATGAACATAATGCATTCATTTGTTAGCAAAAATAAGGCGTTAAATATTCATTCATTAATGAGATGAGGCATAAGGCATTTATTTATTATTAGAAATCAACAGATATGATATAAGGCATTCATTTATTACAGAAATCGGCAGAGGTAAGACATTAGACATACATTTATAATCAGAGATCAGTATGTGTTTATTATCAGAGGTGAAACTATTAAAAGCCATGTATGTCTTATATAAAAAAGAAGAATTTTATTCTGTCTTCTATTTCTGGCTTTTGCCTATTTTTCTTATTTATTTATATGATGACAATATACAAGTAAAACAAGACAAGACACAAAGACTTCTAGATATGATCAGGACTATTATTATTTTCGTTTATATCATTGTATAGCAAGCTTTTATTTATTATTTTATTTATATTATTTATTTATTTTTCTTTTTATTTTATCTGAGCAGATTTTTTTAATTCGTTTCGTATTTATTTATTATCAAAAGTTAGCAAAAATTAGAGATATCAGTAGAATGTACATTGTTAGATACCATTATTAAAATAGAATCAAGATCAAAAAAAACAAGCACAAAGTATTCATATATTAAGAGAAATTGGCAAAGATAAGATATTAGATATTCATTTATTGAGATGAAGCATAAAGTATTTATAATTAGAAATCAGCAGAGATGTGACATAAGACAACTATTTATTATCAAAAATTGGCAAAGATAAGGTATTAGGCATATATTTATTATCAGAATCAGTAGAGATAAGACTACAGCATTGTTTATTATCAAAATTGGCAGAGATAAGTTGTATATTTATTATCAGAAATTAGTAAATATGAGGTATAAGACATGAGAATCGAAAAAGATGAAGAATAAGTATGTATTATTATCAGAAATCAACAAAAGGTAAGATATAGAGATTTTTAGAAATCTTCATTAACAAAGATGAGATATCAGCAGTGTTTAAAATTATTATAATATCGAAGGTTGGCCAAAAGAAGTTGCGATTCTTTATTTTTACTATGCACTTCTAAAAGAATCATCGAATCATTGAATCAAACTAGTATAAATTATCTATCAGTTCATATAGATCAATAGAATTGTTATATATCGACATTAGAAATTATTATTTCAAGCAAGTGCACTGTTGTGGTCGGCCATAGTGATATTGTGGTAAACAATTATTTTTTTGCTATTACAGTTTATATATAGCAGAACATTTCATAATTTTTTTTTAAATATTTGCACTCCTAGGGATTTCCCATGTTTACACTTCTACAAAAAAGAAATGTTACAGTTATATTGTATCATTCAATAATGAAAACCCTTTCTGAAATTGTATGCATCTTTCTTTTGCGTATCAAAAATTACTTATATTTATTTATCATTGAAAATGGTTAAAATTTTTAATTTCTAGATCAAAACAGCTGAAATCCTAGTAGTGGCTATTAGAAAAGCAGAGTTTATAAAGGACAATTGGATAAGTCTTGGTGTAGTAGTCATTGATATTGGAACTAATACAATTAAAGGTAGTTAAAAATCTGTTCTCTATAATTATCTGACTTGTTGACTAATTATTCATCTATTTTATTATATTTTATAAAAAAAACAGGCATTTGATAGGTAGAATTTTCATCCACCTCTGCAGTAGTATCATACATAATACCAGTTCTTGGTAGTGTAGGTCCGATGACTGTTGCAATATTGTTACAAAACACAGTAGAAAGCGCCAAAAGGTTTCTAAAAAAAAGTAATGAATGTAAGATATCCATGTTGGCCTTTAAATGAGTTATACTTGTCCCAAGCGATATCGATATTACAACTTCACAAACATCTAAACATATTAAAGTTCTGACTGAAGAATTGGAACTGATCTCGAATAAGGTAAGACTTTTATTATATTAAAAAATAATTTATATCATAATTATGTATTAAATTGGTTTTTTTTAGTTTGACTTATATGGGCAATACAAAGCCAAAGTAAGTCTTTTAGTTATTAAAAGATTGAAATTGTGAAAAAATGGCAAATATGTTGTTGTAATAGGATATATGTTTAGAAATTGCAAGCTATCTCACTTTATAAAGTTTAGTTGTTAATATCATTAATTATATTATTAAAATGTTTGTAAAATAATGCCAATACCATTAGGTAAAGGCAAATCTACAACTACCATTGGTATAGAACAAGCATTGGGTATGTACTTAAGAAAGCTTTCATTCGTATGTATTAGGCAACCTTCACAAGGACCAACATTTGGCATCAAAGAAGAAGCAGCTAGTGGTGGATATGCTCAAGTCATACCAATGGACAAATTTAATTTACATTTAACAAGAGATATATATGCTGTTACCACTGAAAAAGATCAAACATATTTGACAAGGTTTGATATATGCGGGATCTGTGGCATGTAGATTAAAAATTAATTCTGCAAATAAAAAGCTTTTTTTTGAGTTTTTATTATTATGTTTACAAAATTATAAAGCTTTTTCTCATTAAAACAAAATCGAAGTTGGATATAATTTTGCTCTTATGATTAATATAATCTGGCTAAAACTAGAGAATGGTTTTATGCAATTAAATAGAATGTTAATTTAAATTATTAGTTAAAGATTATATTTATTTATTTATTGTAATTGATTTCAAAAAATTTTTTTTTAAATAAAATTTGATTTTTTAAAAAAAATTTGAATCGAATTAAAAATTTTTTATATAGTATGTACATATATATTAGGTATATGATATATGTCTGATATGTGTAAGCTATTTGTTTACTATTTATATTAGGTACGTGATGTGTTACAGAATTTATATATACAATATATACCTGATATATATAGAATATATATACAGTCAAACCTCCCAAAACTGATCCTGTCAAAACTGATAACCTGTAATAACTGATACAAAATTGAGCCAC